TTTAGTAGATTATGAGTGGAACAGAAATTTACTGAAGAATATTACTGCCCTGTGGGATGCAAAGAAGAAATGTAGCTACAATTTCTCAAATGATAAAAGAATTGCTTGCTATAAACCAAGGAACATTTTAAAACTAATCAGAAGTCCAATGTAGTTAATATTAAACCATACCTTAAAGAGGGAGACAATCAGGCCTGCACAGTATTAGAATGTTGTTGGGAAAGACGCCTCGAACATCGCTGTGTAACGGTAACACACAGCAGCTGTTGCACGCACCCCCCTCAGCCCCAGGGAGGATTAAGCCCACCTCAGAGGAAAGCAGCACAAGCCCAGCACTGTTGACTTTTGCGGGTGCGTACGCTGTATGCCTCTCTATGAAGCTAGGGAGCGAGCAGCAGAGCTGCAAAATTCATGATATATACAGGAGAAACAGGGAGGGGAAATCTTACCTTAATCTCAGAGTTAAAGACTAAGCCGTAAAATGATTTTTATTTTCTAGTCCCAAGACTATGTACTTTTTGTCATTGGACAAAACCTTTTTGTGAGAAGTGATGAGGAGCCAGGGCGTCTCCCTCTTGGTGAGCGTCCTACCCAATCGCTGTAGCCTGCTGAAAAACGTACTTGAGGTACAGTGCAACTCCATTTTGCCTCAGTTTTTACTGTGTACTCCAATCGCTAGGCTGACATCTCTCACGGACTAAGTGTCCACTGAGCGAGGCAGGAGCCTGCTGGTGAGCCTCGGACTCCTGACACCTCTGAGCAACATTTCAGACATTTGCTGTTGCCCTTGAAAGCCAAGGGGATGACAATGTGATAACCCCATCAGGCAAAGGAACCAACTCTAGTAAGTACCTTAAAGGTGATTTGTGTTCATTTTGACCCTCCTGGCTTGGCTTATCCATCAAACTGTTCTCCTTCCCACCAAGTGAACACAAAGCAAAGTTCATCCCAGACAAGCAATTCCAACAGACCAGCTCCTCACATATACATTGTGCCTCAGCTAATGTGACTGTGTGATCTATCTGTCAATCTATCAGGAAGAATCTGGTCATTCATTTTGGGAGAAGCTTATGAGAAAAACTGGGGCAAGACAACTTGCAAGGCTCCGGAGTTCTGTCTTCCTATCCCTCGAGGGAGGGCAAGGAAGATCCAGACCTCGGGAGGCACAGAAACAGCTTTTGCTGCATGGATTGATTATCTTTCTCCTGGAGGAAAAGAAAGATCAGGCATTTATGCTGCTGTTATTAGATGTAGTTGTCTTTGATACAATATCAATCACCTGCAGACCGTGGTGGGAACGGATGGGGCAGCTCTTGGGCAGGCTCCATTTTATATCTGGGGAATCCCATAAGGAGGGAAAAAGGCAAACAGTTTTTTTTCTCCCAGTATCAAGAAAATCTATTGCACACACCTCACCATTCAGTACCTATAGGAGGACATTTGGGGAGGTAGCTAAGAGAAACAAGGAACATTTTAGATTTTTGACTTGTTAGACTTTTGTAAAAATTGTTTACTTTTGCTTGGTGACAATCAGTAGGATGAGAACAGGTGACCTGTGGCATTTGTGCTAACTCGTGGTTGCTATGCTGTGACAAAGTAATGCCATTTTGTCTATGTAATTACTTTAGGATTGTGTTATGAAGCTACTGAAGGAAGACGTGCTAAGTTTTGTTTAGTGCCTAACATTTTTCTCACTTGAGACTTGACGATCACTCAATCACGGACTGCACCTGACCAAGGGGGAAGGCAAAATTATCACTGGCTGATTGTACTCTCCCAGGACCAAGGCGGGGGGTGGGGGGTATAAAAAAATACGCTGTATGTTTGCACATGTCAAACCTGAAATACTGCAGGGAACCTGGGAGTAAGGAATGTTTCTCCATGTATCCAGTCTATTCATTTCCCCAGACAATAACCCGCGCTACAGTGAAAAACTACTGAATGTAACCATTGACAGGAGAATCTGCTATGCAGTTCACACTTGCATTTCTCCATCAACGGTCTGAAGGCAGAGAACAATATATCTAATAGCATAATAACAGCCACCATTAATACTTTAGAAGTTCAGTATAAAATTACTTCATTAGCATGTCAAGTGTTTATTTTAGCTTACTGCAAAACAAGCTCCTTACATGCAGACACTTATTCGACTTTTCCTTGATTGCGGAGTGTAATAACGAAGGATCCTACTTTCCCTGATCTTCTGTGGAGATTTTTACATGCACTGGAAAGATATTGCTCCATTACCTCCAGCCAACGAACCAGCCTGGCGTGCTGAAGAAAAATATTACAGCAGATATATTACTGGACTACGCTGGAACAGTTTTTACAGACTGCCACAAGGGCATGCATGAGGCTGTTAAAATAGCAAGCTGTACTCCCATCTTCAGTCTAAAAGGACACTGACAACTAAGCAAAGGGAAAAAAAATCTGGTTCTTCCTATGCCTCAGTGTATATTTGTTAAATATTTTATATCTGGTCATGTTACCAAGGGGAAAATAATGTCTTTGGTTAAATATACGTATTTTTGGACTTGCTCTTATTGCTAAAAGCTATGGGTTGCAGGATTTTTGTTTGTTTGTTTGCTGGTGGGTGGTTTTTGTTTGTTTGTTTGTTTTCAAACTTGGGGTACCTAAAGCATGTGAACTACCCCAAAGTTAAAACACTCCGAACACAAAGCACTTCAGTTTTACCGCGAGGAAAACTCCACGAAGTTGACCTCAGGCAGAGTTTGGCTTTATTGTGTTTTATTTGAGACTGTTTATATGCATTAGCACCTCAGAAGTTCTTTTAAAAAGGGGGGAGGGGAAGAAAAAGGAAGCTTTTCAGAAGTGAGGACCAACTCCTACCCAAATAAAATTACTCAGACACGTAGTTCTGGTTCACGTCACCTATTCACAGCTTTCATAACCTTCAAGGCTCCCCATTAAAAGTTCTTTTAATTAGTCAAAACCAGCAGCTAATAATTAGAACAGTAGAAACTAAATCCTGTTCTCAGACAGATGTGTGCAAATCCCATTTACTTAAATGGAAATGGCTCACAGGTGTGTTACATTAGACTTTATCCACTCGGCAGCTTTATAGGAATTCAGTGTCTGGAGCCTAATGGCTTGACTCCTCTTCAAAACAGAGGCACAGGTAATGCCACAGAAATCTGATCCCGGTTTCTTCCCCAGTCCCATTCAGCAAACACTTTAATTACCTTCCCCTCCCATCACAACAAGCCTCAAAGTCTAAATTTAGCCTTCTAATCCTAAACATTACAGGCCTGATTCCCGCCTAAGAAGAAGAGGACTCTGTCACCGGCTAGATTAAATTCTGCAGCAGTAATTATGTGTTACAGGCCTCAATTCTGCATCAGCAAAATCTACTGCGCGGCATCAAATTCAAGGAGTTCAGGCATTTTACAGCTCGAGGGTAATGCAATCATTCTATTGCCATGCTATTTACTTCACCCTTCCAATGCGTGCGTTTGTGCTCCACAAAGTGAACTGTAGGTCACCAGGAAACATTCACAGGCACAGTAAACTAGGCAACCGTATCTAGTAAGCCACAGAAATAGTGAAACAACGTCAGTTATTTTTCCAATGGCAGGAAAACCTCACAGTTTCACAACACTCCCCCCCGCCCTTTATTTTTTAAAGCCGCTGATACAATGAAAGCTCTTAGCCACACTCCATATAAAAATATATCATAAAAACGATCGTTGTTTTGCCTGCTTAGGAATGTGGAAAATGACACTGCGATCCCACATGCCGTTTAGCTTGGATACAAATTGACATGTGGTTTGTCATCACCGAATTCTCTAATCCAAACATAAAATTGGTATTTTAATTTCAGCTGGGTTTAGTGCAGCATGAAGGGAAAGACGACCAGTCAGGACGAGAAGTCTTGGGTCCCCCCAACACCTTCCAGGCGATGACAGCTATTGCTTTAAGTACTTGCCATTAACAACCAGTCACAATGTTAGTGACAGGATGTTACTAGCAGTTACTTAAAGTGATAGATGTTAACATTTTTCTGCTCTTTATGACTCACACTATACCCCAGTCAGAATATTTTAGGAGCTGAATGCACAGCACTAGGTCAAAATGATGAAGATCGTGGAGCCACTGGTTGAGGTGGTAAATGAGATGTGTCATTTGAAGAACATTAGGTCAAAGAGAATCCATGATAAGAAACTGTCATGGATTAAAGATTAAAATTCATCCTTTTAACTATTTCACGTAGGGGAATTCTCCAGCATTGGGGCATTTTGCTCTTCCATACATATGAAAGAAACGTCAAACTCTGCACTGTGAAAATAAGTCTTTGATGTTAACATCTTTTAACAACTCTCCCAATGAGATACAGATTAAGAAAAGGTACTTTGATCCAATTTTAGAGCAACATAGACCACAGTTACCTCTGTACACATGGACAAGCTGCCCTGTGAAGACTCAGGGAACAACACTCTAGGAATAATGTTAAACACCTGTGACTTCTGACCATGGATAGATGTAATACACCGCATAAGGTCTAGAGCCATAAACACTGTAACTGGAGCGGAAAAGGATACAGCAAAAATTTCTCGTAGGAAAGGAAAGCAAGAATTTTATTGCTCCGTGTTTTGCAGCAGGTAGCTGATTCATCTGACCAACTCAACCAACCAGACTATGACCCAAGCCCTGCACAACATGCATTACATTTTGCGTTACAAATGACGTAGAGTCAGAACAGGTTAGAGATAAAACAGCAACAATTTCTCATTATATATAAGCAATAATCAGTAGCCCATCGCATAAAAATAGCATTTGTAATTCTGAATCTACCTTGAGATGAAATATACTTCAGAAGAATTACAACCTCGTGATCTAAGCCAAAAGGAACTTGCCAAGTGTTTGCAAACAACACGCTTAAATGAAAATTTTCCAGTTCTTTCCCAAGAATTCAGAGTAAAACTTTTACCCCCAAAATGCAGAATTGATTAATAGCTCTGAAAACCTGTCAGACCACCTACCTTCAGCATCATCTTGCAGGTCCTCAGGCTGCTCTGCTTCGCTCTTTGTGGGAGATGGAGGCTGTCCTTTTTGCCCCGATCCTCCTTTAAACATAAAAAAATAGACATATTAGTATATTTTGAATTATATTGTATTATATTTTGAATTTGTTTTATTGTATCAAATATTACTATGCATGATACTACAACTGTGAGTCCATTTTATCTCAGTACTCCATTCAGTACCCAATGCCTATGTTTAAAATCAATTACTGCATATTCTGTTATAAAAGTCATTACAGGTACCTTTCAGCTCGAACTCCACTTTCCCTAACTTTCACATGACAGCAATGAAGAAAGCTCATACTAAAATAACGTACTTCTTCACAAGCTCTTAATCTCTTCAGAAATAAGAAATTGTATAATGTTTTAATTAGTTGTTTTTAACATAATATATATTATACTGCATTACAGAACTGTGGAGAAATAATCTGAAGGAAATAATTTTTCCCTCTTGGCTCAATTCTCCATTCAATGTTGTAACACAGTAACAAATGAATATTGACTGAAATTAGTAATGAAATGAAGGGTAGGGAAGCAAGCTTGATGCTGAAATAAGTTAAGGAAATGAAAGATTTACAAGATAGAAATGTTCTGGTTGAAAGAAATCCATTCCAACCTTTTCACCAGAAAGCAACAGGACGATGGAGGAAAAGGAAAGCCTCCTAAGTAAAACAGTAACTGAGGCCAGTTAAGTTTAAGATCTCCCCCATTTGTAGGGACTGAAGTTCACGGTGTTTAATATCAATTACTTAAATTTTTAAAATTATGAACTTTTTCTACAACATTTTCAAAATATCCTGTGATCTTAATACAAAGGATGAAATTACTGTCTGTTTGCTATGATAGACCTCAAGGCACAAACTGGTAGCACAGAAAGCCTGTTAGTACAAAAGGGAGGCCAAGCTGGAAATTAATCATAAAAGGTATTCTAAATTAAGACACTTAATGAAAGCAGGTTCACTAATTAAAACATTCTTCAAACATTGTTGCTTAACCATGAAAGCAGAGAATGGCAGACAATTAAAACTCAATTCATTGCACCTATTGAATCTATTCAACCATGACAGGAAAATGATTTTCTGTCATTTGACTTTCTGTCAAACTTCCCGATTCCCTGTAGCCAGCTGAGGGCTTGGGTGAGGGAGAAGCCTAAAGAAAAAACACTTTTGTGCATGCTGGCAAGAAACCTTGACCACTTGTAACCAGGAAATTTAGGAAGACGTGACCTTGCTTGATTTACCCCGATTGCTGTGCTGTGAGAAAATACGAATCATGGTATTACCTCAAACTGATTAGCTAATTAGCAACTGGGGAAAAAGCGCTACCTACTATACTATAAAAATATTATAAATTGCTTAAGTGTTCTAAAAGCTCCCATCTCTTCTGCTGTCACGCATACCCGACACAACCATCGACTCTATGTCACTGGATTTTTAAACAGCTCTCAGCAATCAGGTGCCCAGTTCTCACAAAGGACTCGGTTCTATTAACAGCTGTAGATACTACCCTTTTACCTTCTGCCCTTCCACAACTACATGTATCTAGAACTAAGATGCTGGAAGTTTCCAAACAGGAGGTATGAAAGAAGTAAGTGAGGATGTGGAAAGGGAACTTGCAGAGTCAAGGGGAATACTGTGTTCATTCAAGAGACAAAAAGGGAGTGAATCATTGGCTTTGCATGGAGCCCAGGAAAGTCAGAAACATTATACTACTGTACTTATGTCCAAAAAAAAAAAAAAAAAAAAATCCATCGATTGGGAAGCTGGAAGGAATTTACATGAAGCAGCAGCTCAAAATGTCAACAAAAAATTACAAAATGCAGATCTGTATGTGAGTAATTACATTCCATCTCCCTTGCTTATTTTTAAGGAGTGAGCATTACCCAAAAAAAGCCAAACTGAATATTGTTCATAAAAATTTCTTCCAGAACAGAATTTGTTTTGTTCTAGAATTCCATATACTTCAGAGCATGAAAGGCCCTTAGCGATCAGTAAATAAAGCTAGTTACTGCAAAGCAGAACATGCTTTGAGGTTTGGCTTAGTATCAGGAGGTAGACGTTTCCTGACAGCACTTAAGAGAGGACATGTCATGTGTCATGTCATCACGTTTGACAATTTGAAATTCAAATACAATATTTTGAGGAAAACGAGAGTTTTCAAGTGCTAAGACGAGTTTATTTCTGGAGTGGCGAGAATGTAGGAGTAACCACAAGAAATACCGTGGGGAAAAAGAAAGGCAAAACCTGCCAAATAAAGACACACTTTGGCAACCCTTTAAAGGGGTTACTCAGGAGCAATGGCGATAGAGTTCAAGAAGAACTTCAATACAAAAGAGAGATTGTGAAAATAACCAGGCTTTTAAAGATTGATTCCTGCCAACACTCTCCCATTCTTTTAAAAAATAACTTGAAGATTTATAGTGGACCATATCGACGTATGGTTCTTTGGTCCTAATGCCACTCTGAACTACCTGCTACATTACCTTTTTTGGTTGACAACAATTCACATCAAGGGGACCGAATCAATAGGAGTGTTTCAATCAACACTCACCTCTCTAGTGATGAATTTTATCATCTAAGCAATCTGTGCGGCTTCCTCCAGTCCCACAAGTCAAATGTCAATCACGTGTAAGTGCAAATGTCCACCAGGTCTTTCAGGAGTATCTGAATACATTAGGTAATATAACCAACATCTTAATTGACAGCACAAAGACGGAGCGGGAGGAGTCTTACATTCAGAGAAGTCAGAACTGTTACTATCTCAAAAGAAATGATCTTTTTGCACTCTATAAAGAATCTTAAAATGCTCAGAAAAGGATGTAGAGGCACTGTCCCAGCAGAACAAGGTTTCAATCACAATTTCATTGCTTTTTAGCAGATTTCCCTCATTCCTGAGACAGAAAAGGATTTGTGCAGGCTTCAAAATAATGTCTTTTTATTATGGTCAAAATACAACTCTTAACCTGTTCTGCTCTGCAACAGTATGTATGTCTTTCAGAACAGCTAGCCAAATATTACAGAAATTAGGCCTGCAAATTTCTGTTTAAAAATAGCACACCTAGACAGGTGTCTGAGATGATCGTATTAAAAGCTTTTCTAATCGTGATAATCTGTGCAAAAAGGTTTCTGAGCTCTAACACTGGGAGAAATTATTCTTCTTTATAGGCTAATTCAGAGGGTCAAAAAGCTGCCTAAATTTCATAGTCTGTCTCCGAGTAAGCTATTCCCAAAATCCCTCACAACTTCCAAATCTCCCTGGTTACAAGTGATTGCTATTTTCATCTCTGAAGAAAAGAGAAAGTCTCCCTCCAAAAAAAGTATCCAAGCGTTAAGAGTGTGCACACAGTGGAACATACAAAGAAATTCTGTATTTATACAGCATTGTTTATAATAGGGCTTCCCTTGTTGGTGTGAATGAGATCCTTCGTCCTGCCATTCTAGCTGGCTGTGGCTTCTGAAGTACCGAATAAGCGGTTAATTAGGATGCTCAGGATAGAAACAGGATAACCAGCAGAGCATTTATGGCAAACAACTGTTAGATGGGAAACAAGAGACAGTAGTGTGGCAACGTTCATACAGGTGATGTCAAAAGGTGTTGGTAACTGGTGGAGAGTGAAGCTGAACAGGTTGAGAGAAAATATAGATTCAGAACTGAAACTCTTTTCTGAGTGTTTCCTTTTTTTTTTTTTTAATGGTAAGAGAATTAACTTATGTCAGTGCATAATAATGTGATACTGTTGTGCAGGAATCTGGACCATACTTCTCATAATAGCACATGCTTCTATAATTTCCACATGCAATCACTGCAATTGTGCACACAATTATGGCAGTATTAGCGCTTATTTTGCACGCTTCTGTGCATAGGTGTGTGAATCTATGGGTATAAAAGCGAAGTCTTTCAGAATTTAAAGTTTAGAATAATCTTCCCTTAATGGAGCTTAACACATTAAGCATCATGACTTTGCAGTGTTAAATCACTGAAGTTAAAGGTAGACAAGACTATTAGGTCATCTGGTCCTTCTCTTCGCTTATGTAGGAAATCGTTCATAAAGGAAAGCTGAGATGTAGAACTGCACAGGTCTGTACCTGCAACTACCACCTCTGTCCTTTTGACTCGAGACATTCTAACAGCAAACTGTACGACATATGATAACATCAAAGCACTTTCAATTAAATGGTGCTGTTAAGTCAGTAGCTGCTACAGGATACAGCATGCAGAATAACAAAATGATGGGTTAAAATCCTGTGAGTCAAACACCATTGAAAGAGTGGTCTTGCATGTGTATATTTAATAAGACTAGGTTATTTTAATTTAATTTTTTTTCTAGTACATCCAATATATGCAGTGACATTGTGTGATTAACTCACTGAAGTGATCATTCCTGCTTGTTGATTTTATAGTATTAATGTAGATATTAATGGAGATTATCTGGCAGATGTAATTAAGATATTCCCTTATTTATTTTGAAGAGAAATCATAGGAAGGAAGGCCTTTCTGCATGTAATGAGATATTTGCACTTCTGGGTGGTAGAAACACAAGACAGATAACTTTCACAATGTATCCACCACTCAATAATACACACATTTGGTCATCTGTTATTCCATACTCCCAGCTAATTCTCTAGCTGTTCCCAAGGCCTAATCTGGTGTGCACAGAAGTCAATGAACACAATCCCACTGACTCCAGCTGACACCAGACCAGGATCAGGTTTTTTCCCCTCTAATTCTTGCCACCAGGTTTAAATTAGGACCAATTCTGTAATCTCCACCTCATTCTACTACATTCTTCAAATGGAAATTGGTGCAGATACAATGAGCCTACACCTCGTTTGTGTCCCTGTACCTCTTCTCTGTGATTTCTCTTGGTTTGATATTGGCCCTGAGAAACACCTAGCCAGTAGGTGTTGGAGTAGTAGTTGGAGGCACAGGAATTTAGGTGAAATTTAGAATACTCAAATCTCTGCCAAAAGTCTTACACGTGTGCAGTCTGCAACATGGGGTCTCCAGGAATCCAGCCTTGCCCCCCCCCCCTTTTTTTTTTTTTTCATTCTTAAGCACAGGAATTGGAGTAATAACCCCAAAGCAGATTGGATATAGACAGTTCAAAAAAACAGGGTCATCAATATTGGTGCCAACTGCTGACTCCATCTGCTGGAGTCATGACCCATGAAGTCAAGTGGAATGAAAAATGATTATTCAATTAATAGCTTGAAGTAGTGACTAGGAGTTGCTACTCTAATTTTTCCCTTAGAACAGTAAAAAGCAGATCTCCTTCAAACTGATAAAAATCTGAGTATAAAAATGAAAACTCCCCTCAATGCAGAAATTATGTATATATTTACAGTTCCCACAAATGCATCATACAATCATTAGAAAGTCCATACACAAATAGGTCAAAAGGGCATAACTTTTGTATATCTGCCCCACTACTAGAACAGATATACAAAAGATACTTCTCTTTAGCATTGCTGACAATCAATGCATTGATTCCCAAAGTATCTCCAAGTGATAAAGAAATAACCAAGTACATGCTGTTGAAGCTCATAGCACCCTACAGGCAAACCTGTACCTCATCTACCTCATATGCACAAAGAAAGGGAGAGGTAGGGAAATACCTTCCTCAAATGACTTAATTCAGTGATAATTGCCCACAGCAGCTATGTAGCTTCACCTAAATTAGTGAAGCTGTGAAGGATACAAGGCAAGAAAGGAGAGACTGGCTATTAACCGGAAATGTACTTCCTTTTAATTCTAATTTAAAATGCTTTTAAAAAAGTAATTTGCATAATCTCCATAAAAGCAATGCGACAAAAAATGCAAAATAATTTGGCTTATAAAAGTAAACATGCCACGATTACTCTAAAAAATGAAATTGGAAATGTTAGATGAATACTGCAAATTCAACTGTAGGATAATCTTTGGCAAATGTTTGCTGTATAATGACGGTCTTTATTTTTCTACTTTTATGTATGTATGTACAACTGTATCAATCACACTAATTGTATTAAAATTTCTAAAAGTTCCTAGCCAGTAATCTTGACACCAAAAAGTAATTATAATTATACATAATAAAATCAACAGGCCAGAACAGCCATAAAAAAATGTGCTAATCCATCAGTGTAACACATATCTATCTGTGTATATCCATGTTTTCACATCTATGCATATACACCATTCTTCAAGTATTTCTAATTTCTAAGCTAATTAACTGGTTGCATAAATCATCATAATCCATTTGTCTTTAGGACAATCTTGCCAATTTAAGCAGCCAACACACTGCTTCAAAAGCTTTTACCTCTGTTTTCTGGCTGGTCTCTCTCTGCCTTTCTCCATGTGGCTCTGCTTTCTGATCCTACACCTTTTTGTAAAGAGAAGAACTGGAAGTTCCTGCACAGTCATTGGGCTCTGATGGAGTCAGGGTCACAGAGACCTTGGGGACAGTCCACATGCCTGGCATGCTGTCACAGAGGGGTACTAGCTGGTTAGGAAGGAGAGGCAGAGAAGAAGAGTAGGGGGAGCTGTGCTGCATCTGAAAGGAGGTCCTTCACTGCACAGAAGTCTCTTATGGAACAGTAGACATCCACTGAGAACCTCTAGGTCAGTAGGGAA